GCTCACGTGGTGATGTTCTTTGCAGGCCTCCCCACCAAGAGTGCTTTTTGCCTTCCTTGTGTCTCAGGTGTGTGACCACTCTGCCAGTTCAGAATTCTTGGCCCTCTCTTAATCCGTGAGTACTGATTTTTATTTTGTAAAACACAGTCATCGTATCTATGCTACAGAATGAATTTTGGCTCTTTAGCCTTCCCTTCCCCATCCCCACACTCCCAGCCTTCTTTACTTTCCCCCAAACTTTATCCCAGCCGGAAAGCTACCATCTCAAGACCAAAACTTAGTTCACCAAACCAACTTATTTTTTAAAACAAAGTGTATAACCCATATTATTACAGATGAAGTTATTGTTTTGTTTTGTTGTTTGTTTTTGCTCATTAACACTAATAAATCTTTAAATAATGGTATTTTAGGCCAAGTAGGAGAGGGGGCATTTTGGACTGGATTGCTTATTGCTTTACTAAATTTTGTTTCTGAGCATATTCAGTTTAGACATGAGGAAACCTTGATGGGGGAATTCCCAGTCTCTCTCGTCAGAAATGGTTTCATTTCCTCAACCTTCTTCCTTTCATCAGTTCCTAACTTTCTTCTACTTTCCCTTTCTCCCAGCCAACTTTTTCTTCTCTGGAGTTTGAGGCCTATGTTGACTTAGTAGAATATTAAAGTAGTCAGCATGAGTCAACAGAGCTATGAAACTGGTTGGGAAACCAGTCTTCAGATGTGATAATAAACAGAGCTGGAACATGGTGAGCAGAATCGCCCTACTGTGCTGTGGGCTGCTCAGACCTCACTAGAAACATCCTGTTTGCTTCAGGGGGATTTGGGCAGACTGAAGCACTGCCACAGAGCAATGACTAGATATGTGGACTGGCTGAAAGAACTGAAGATGTTTACCTTGGTAAAGAGGAGCCCTGGCAGAAAAAAGCAGAGAGGAGGTTGGAGGTACAGCAGTGCTACCATGTGCAACCCAAGATTTTGCTTTGTGTGACCTTTAAAAACAAGGCTGAAACACTGAGTAGCTTTCAGGAAAGTTTATTTTTTTCATAAAACAAAACTGAATCTTTCCTGTGACTACTATTAGCAGCGCTGTAGAAGGAATGTATGCACAGAGAACCAGGATAACAAATAGCCTCTGCATTATGTATTACCCAGTCAGTTGGTGAAAGCTGGCCGTGACAGTGTAGTCATTCTGAGTATGCACATTGGAGTAAAATGAACCTGACATTGAATGCTAGTTCAGCACCTTCCAACTGGGTAACAACCTCTGATTCTCAGCATCCACATCTCTAAAAGGGGAGTAATAGTACCAATATCACTAGGAATATTGTGAGGCTCTGAAAGTAGATAATACATGTAAAGCAGTTAGTACAGTGCCTTCCATATAATAAGTGAAAAATGTTAGTATTGAGAAAGATTATGAGTCAGAAAAAGAAAGATTGGGAGGTCACACCAGGTGGAGTACCCAGCCCTGATCAGCTACTGGTGTCTCCATGGAAGTGGAAGAAGGGAGGCATATATTTATGATCTTTGGAATATAACCGAATAAAATAATTATTTATACTCGGTTCTTATATTTTATTTTTTATGTTACATTGTCATTTACTTACAATGCAAAAAATAAATTAGAGGGAGCCTTGGCTTAGATTGTGATCCTTCTCCAAAGGATATTTCCTTTCTTTTCTCCATCTCTACTTGTATATCATAAGTTTAAAATGATGACAACCATATGAAGGAAAATACATTTTTTCGTTCTGTTCTATTAACCTTGCGAGTCTCACAACGTGAATGAATGGGAGGGAAGGACACTCTGCAATACGTAATGAATGAGCCTGTGTGTCTTAGATGTCCTAGTTCTACAGATTAGGCATTTAGAAAGGACGTGAGGAAAATCAAATCCTACGGCAAGCTGTCTTTTGCCAGATCAACCATATTTTATCCGAATAAAATTCTCTTATATTTGTATTAAACTCAAAAGAGGGTTTTATAGCACTTCAGGATATGAACAGTTACTTAGACTCTTCCTGGAAGACCTTATCTTAAATATCCATGGATACTTAAGTACTTCAACACTGCCTACTGTATATTGTCCAGAACATTGCTTAAGGAAATGAAGTGTGTCATTAAAAGAGGTACTTTTAATGACCTTGCAATGCAAGGTCATCTCTCTGGGTGTTGAATGACTCCTAGAAAGCTAGGCACAGCCACTTCGCTTAGAGATGGCTGCCAACAGGAAAGTGCTACTGCCTACTGAAGTTCTCCTGGGCCCAATGGATGTATTTTCCCCAAAAGTGATTAAGTGAGAAGAACTGGATTATAACATAGAAATAAATTACTCACTTTTTTACCCCATGACACAAAGATCAAGAAACAACGCATCTACATACTTACTGACTCTTCACCTTAGAAAGGTAGTGATGTACTATTAATTCAAGAAAATAGTATTGCTCTCTGGTTAAATCTCAAACTCTTGAGTGAGAACTAATTGGAATCCTGACTCCTCTATTTCATTGATTTTAGCCTTGTCAAAGTGTATAAACTTTTCTAAGCATGGCTGGTTTTCTCCCTGTAAAATGGGGATAATTGTTTTACCTGTTGTCTTTTGTGGAGATTAAATTAGATCAATAGGAATGATGTTATCACAGAGTTTTTTGCATGGTAAGCCACAGAGCGACTTCCGGTGGTAATAGGAAAAGTAGCTAATGAGTCAGGAGTCCTGGATTCTGGACTCAACCTTTACAGTAACTAGCTGTGAATTTGGGGCAAATCCTATCAGTTCTCTCGACCTTAGTTTCCTTAACTATGAAGTGAAATAAATTGATTACATGATCTTGAATATTACTTCTGATGCTTAAACACTAGCCCATTAGCAAAAGCATTTAAAAACTCTTAAAAAGCTTCCACCATTCCTAAGTAGTAGACAATTATTCCAATCTTTACTTACACATTCCTTTTGTGAGGGAAGGACTGTGTGTTTTTCACCACCTCTATTTCCCTAGGAATTTTATTGCCTCTAGTTAAGAGAAAGGTGTTAAGGAGAAAATGAACACCTTGTTGTTACTGTGTGAACACTAACTGCTCTTAATTGCTCTCCTTAAGATAGCTTCAGTTAATGGGTTTGCAAATCCCATCTCCATCTAGATTCTTAATATTCCTGTAGCAAACATAATCCATCTATTTTATAGTGAGCTTTTTAGTGATGTCTAACACTTTTATATAGGAAAGTACACAGATTAAAATGTAGAACTTGCTGAATATTTATGATATGAACACACCAATGTAGCCAGCACCAAGATCAAGGAACAGAACACAACCAGCACCCCCGAATCTCCCTCAGGCCCCTTTCTAGTCACCACCTCCTGTCCAAGGTTAACCACCATCCTGATCTGTACGATGATAGATTGCTTTTGCACATTTTTTAAATCAATGTGAATGCAATTATATAGCAAGTAGTCATTTTGTTTACTATACTTGGAGTGAAATTTGTAGGTATCATGTATGCATATGTTCAGCTTCCATTGATAGCGTCCGTTTTCAAAAATGGTTCTACCACTTTATACACCCTTCCCCCGAGCCCCAGCCAGGAATGATGGTTCCATTTTTGATTATCTACTTCGAACCAATATTTAAAAAGCAGGCTGCTATTTTGAATTAGGTTTTACAGATTTCTCCCCATTACCTGGACCCTCTGCTTCAGATGATGCAGTCTTGTTTTCCCTGGAAAGACCTTGAATATACCAAGTATATACTTGTTGTTTTTGCATAATTATTATTTATATTTATTTCACTTTCAAATTTTCCTAGGTTAGGGTGAATGGAACTGCTTTAGAGTTAGATTATACTAGTGGTTGCAGAACTCTTTAAAACATTAAATTATATAGGCAAATTTTATAGTATATGAATTATACCTAAAAAAACTGTTATTTTATTTTTTAATTTTATTTTAATTGTTGTTCAAGTACAGTTTCTGTCTTTTACTCCCAGCCCAGCACCCCCGCCCCAGTGCTCCCCACCTCCCTCCCATTTCCACCCCCCTTAGTTTTTGTCCATGTGTCCTTTATACTAGTTCCTGTAAACCCTTCCCCTTTACCCCTGAAATTCCCTCCCCTCTCCCCTCTGGTCCCTGACAGCCTGTTCTCTATTTCAGTGTCTTTGGTTATATTTTGCTTGCTTGTTTGTCTTGTTGTTTAAGTTCCTGTTAAATGTGAGATCACATGGTATTTGTCTTTCAACACCTGGCTTATCTCACTCAGCATAATGCTTTCCAGTTCCATCCATGCTGTTGCAAAGGGTAGGAGCTCCTTCCTTCTTTCTGCTGCATAGAATTCCATTGTGTAAATGTACCATAGTTTTTTGACCCACTCATTTACTAATGGGCACCTAGGTTGCTTCCACCACTTGGCTATTGTAAATTGTGCTGCTATGAACATTGGGGTGTATAGGTTCTTTTGGATTGGTGTTTCAGGATACGTAGGGTATAATTCCAGCAGTGGAATTGCTGGGTCAAAAAGCAGATTCATTTTTAGTTTTCTGAGAAAATTCTATACTGTTTTCCATAGTGGTTGTGCCAGTCTGCAATCCCACCAACAGTGCACTAGAGTTTCAATAAAACTGTTTTGAAAAATTATCCTAGCTTAGATGATAAATTATGTGGTCATCATGCTTTATCCTATTTCTACCATTCACAAATGAGTTTCAAAAGAAGGTAGAAAGAAAAAAAATCTGATTGATTTTTTTGGGATATGGCTGATTCATTTGGGAAAAATATGGCTGATTTATTTGGGAAAAAAACAAACCTTCCTGGCATGGTATTTGAAGTATTTGCTAGCAAGAGTTACTATCCAAAGCAAAAAAAAAAAAAAAAAATTGATTATGCTACACCAATCCATTAAACTACTCTTTTCAAAGGGGATCCCTTCTACACACATTGAGTTTATTTTATAATTTATTGAAAATAATGATACATCAGACAAGGATTTAGTCTCCAAAATATATAAATAACTTACATGACTCAATACCAGGAAGACAAACGATCCAATCAAAAATTGGGCAAAGGCACTGATAGACATTTCTTCAAGGAGAACATACAGATGGCCCCTAAACATATGAAAAATGCTCAACGTCACTAGCCATCAGAACGGTATAAATGAAAACTACAATGAGATATCACCTCATACCTGCCAAAGTGGCCATCATTAATAAATAAACAAGTGCTGGCAAAGATGTGAAGAAAGGGGAACCCTAGTACACTGTTGGTGGAAATGCAGACTGGAGCAGCCACTATGGAAAAGAGTATGGAACTTTCTCAGAAATTTAAAAATGGAACTGCCTTTTGACCCAGGGGTTCCACTGTTGGGAATATATCCTAAGAATCCTAAAAAAACAATTCAAAAGAACCTATGCACCCCAATGTTAATAGCAGTGCTGTTTATAATAGCCAAGACTTAGAAACAACCTAAGTGCCCATCAGTAGAAGACTGGATAAAAAAGCTGTGGTACATTTCCACAATGGAACACTACACAGCACTAAAAAAGAAGGGATTCTTACCTTTTGCGACAATATGGATGGAACTGGAGACTAGTATGCTAAGTAAAATAAGCCAGTCATTGGACAACAAATACCATATGATCTCACCTATAAGTAGAATCTAGTGAACAAAATAAACTAATGAGCAAAATAGAACCAGAGGCATAGGAACATGGAACAGATTGACAGCTATAAGAGGGGAGGGAACAGATGGGGACTAGTTGAAAGAAGGTGAAGGGACTAGTCAAAGAGCATATATGAATGACCTATGGACTTGGACAATGGTGTGGGGATTGACTGGTGGAAGAGGATAGGCTGGATGGAGGGGGGCAAAAGGAGAAAAAAATGGGACAACTGTTATAGCATAAACAATACAATATTTAAATTAAAAAAGAAAATAAAGACTTTTAAAATAAGCATGCCTTATAAATGTTGCCATGAGATTAAAATTTTTAATTAAAACTATGGTATCTCTGTTACTGTTGCTAGGTAACAAACCACCTGAGACCTCAGTGGTGAACATGACCGTATCATCATGCTCTTGGATTCTTCGGGTCAGGGATTCAGATACAGCACAGCAGAGCTAACTTGCCTGCTCCATAGTTTCTGGGCCTTTAGCTTGTCATTGGCTGAGACCTCAGCTCAGCTGTCGACTAGAGTACTGTACAGGGCTTCTCCCTGTGGGCTAGTTTGGGCTTCCTCACAGTATGGCAGCTGGGTTCCAAAAGGAAGCATCCCCAGAGGACAAGATAAAGTGCATGGCATGGCATTGTATGATCTAGCGTCCGAAGTCACATAGTCACTTTTGCTACCCTCTATTGATTAAAGTCTGCCCCGATTTAAGGGGCGGGAACGTAGACCCAATCACTGCATGGGAGGGGTGTCGAGGTCACAGTGTAGTAAGAACATGTAGAATGGGAGGTGAGGTGGGGTCCAGCTTTGGAAAATGTGCCTCCCCTTTTACCTGGGTCGTCTCTTTCCTTCACCCCTATTGTTTTCATCCTGCTCGATTTTGATTCCACCTCCAGTACTTTCTCCTTTGTGTGGGGTCCTCAATGTGGAAAGGAGCCCTGGCCAGGTCACACAGAAAACTGCACAGGGGCATTCAGGCCTGGCCGCCTGCCTCTGGCCCCCACTGGCTTTTGCACTGGGCAGTTTCAGCCGCTCCCTGGTGAGAAGACTATCGGGTTCCCTCCTCTCATGTCTATCAGACACCTCTTTGCTTCTCTCTGGTTTTTTCCTCCACAGACATTGATACACCAACTTGAAATTTGGAGTTTGTGAGCTATGTTGTCTCCTAGTTTTGTGTAAATGTTGTCCCTAGGGTTTTGACTATCTAGTCACCCTGTTTTTAGGGAGGAATTTGGGAAGAAACAGTTGCGTTGCCACTACCACCACCATTTACCAGAATTTACTCAGAGTGGTCTTTTAAAAATGTCAATCAGACCATGCTATTGCTGATTAAACCCCTCCAGCGACATCCCGAATAAAATGCAAACATCTTACCTTGTGCAGTCAGCGCATCAGGATTTCACGCCCTTTCCTGCCCCATCTGCCACTCCTCCTATATGAGAGCCTGTGCTCCTGCCACACGACTCTTCTTTCTGTTCCTTGACTAGTTTGCTCTAGGGCCTTCCAGCTGGCCTGGCATGTGCTTTCGGAATGTAGTCACATGGTCGACTGCTTCTTGCTGCACAGATATCTGTTTAAATGTCATTCTTCAAACAGATTTGACCTTCCAGTTTGCAGTTGCTTCCCAGGCATTCTGCACCACATTGTTCTCTATTATTTTCACCACAGCACTCGGTGACATCATTTCTGTGTTTGTTGGGTGTCCCCCGTGACAGCCACTGTAATGCGAGAAATCCTGTCAGTCTCACTAAACACTGCATTCCCAGTGCCTGGCACACAGTATGTGCTTAATAAATGTTGGTAGGCTGAAGAAGAGAGGGGGAGGGGAAGGGAGGAAAGAGAGAGAACAAAGAAAGAAGGAAAGGAAGGAAGGGCAGGATGGATGGAGGGAGGGAAGAAGGGAGGGAAGCAGGGAGGGGGAAAAGGAAGGAATGAATGGCACTCCAGGGTTCCCGATTATATGATACTATCATTCTGATCTCTGAGCTGCTTTTTCCTGTGGTCCTCAGGTTACTGAAAAGCCTTCTCATTTCTAATAGTCTTTGATAAGGTAGACCTGTGAAGTCCATGAGGAATATGCCTTGAGTGGGGGTGCTTTTTGTTTCCACCGGTTCACAAATACTTAACAGAATTTCCTCCATAAAATGCAGTAAAGTGTAACTGAAAAATCTAAATGACCTCTTAATGTTTCTTTGAATACAGAACTAAAGTCATTTCTAAAGCCATTAAAATAAATTCAGCCACTAAAATAAATGCTACACTACATTGCACAAGCTTTTTATTTTCCAGAGGTTCTTATTATTCCCTTTGATGCTCTATGGTTTGTCAAATTGTGAAGTCCAGTTAATTTGAAAACCTGCCATATTGACCTGGAGTAAGAAAGACGACTGTTCTCAGGCTCCTTAAATCTGGTAACACACTCTCCTTGAAATTGTTGGGCTGGCCAAAAAGTTCATTTAGGTTTTTTTTTTCTGTAAGATGGCTCTAGTAGTGGTTGTCTTTAACTTCATATGGAACAATTTTGTTAGACTGTATTGTGACAGCTGTCACAACAGTGTGCATTTACAAAAAAAAAGTATCAAAAGTGGTGAATTTCTGTGCAGCCATTTTAATATTTAGGATGAAAGAAAATATACTACATTTTTGGCTTATTGTGCTTTAATATTTCAAGAAAGGTAAAATGCAAAAAAAAAGATTTGTGCAGTGTATGGAGAAGGTGCTGTGATTGATCAAATGTGTCAAAAGTGGTTTGTGAAGTTTTTTGGTACTATTGACGTTTTAGCCAAATAAGTCTTTGCTGTGGGGCTGTCTTATGCATGGGAAGATGTTTAGCAGCACCCCTGGCCTCTACCCACTGGAAGCCAACAGTGGGAGACAGCCAGCGTACTCAAAATATCCAAATCAATAAAGTTATTGGTGAAAATGAAAAATGTGTCCTTTATTTTACTGAAAAACTACTGGTAAATGGACTTTTTGGCCAACCCATTTTATGTTAACAAAGGCATTTTCTTCAAGCATAGTACTTCGTCCTCATGGACAGGTGTTCTGGTTTCTTCCTCCTCTTTTCTATGAATTCCTTCGTTTTGGGAGATGTGGCTGCAGAGCCACATGGTCACCTGCTCTCCTCTCAACATCACTTTCAGTAGAGCTCTGTTTCATGTTCCCAAACCGATGCCCATTAGTTGTGAGGTCAGTTCAGATCCTGCCTGCATGTCTCGGACTGCTTTGGTACACAGTCCACACCTTTCCATCATTATGTGTGTGTGTGTGTATGTATGTGTGTGTGTATTTAATATATGTTATTGATTATGCTATTACAGTTGCCCCATTTCCCCCTTCATTCCTCTCTACCCTGCACACCCCCTCCCACCCACATTCCCCCCCTTTAGTTCATGTCCATGTGTCTCAAGTTCTTTAGCTTCTACATTTCCCATACTATTCTTGCCCTCCCCCTGTCTATTTTCTACCTACCATTATGCTGCTTATTCTCTGTACCTTTTCCCCCTCTCTCCTCCTCCCACTCCCCTGTTGCTAACCCTCCATGTGATCTCCATTTCTGTGATTCTGTTCCTCTTCTAGTTGTTTACCTAGTTTACTTTTGTTTTAGGTGTGTGTGGTTGTTAATAATTGTGAGTACGCTGTCATTTTACTATACATGTTTTTTATCTTCTTTTTCTTAGATAAGTCTCTTTAACATTTCATATAATAAGGGCTTGGTGATGATGAACTCCTTGAATTTGACCTGATCTGAGAAGCACTTTATCTGCCCTTCCATTCTAAATGAAAACTTTGCTGAATAGGGCAATCTTGGATGTAGGTCCTTGCATTTCATGACTTGGAATACTTCTTTTTAGCCCCTTCTTGACTGCCAGGTCTCTTTTGAGAAATCAGCTGACAGTCTGATGGGAACTCCTTTGTAGATGACTGTCCCCTTATCTCCTGCTGCTTCTAGAATTCTCTCCTTCATTTTAACCTTGGCTAATGTAATCATGATGTGCCTTGGTGTGTTCCTCCTTGGGTCCACCTTCTTTGGGACTCTCAGAGCTTCCTGGACTTACTAGAAGTCTGTTACCTTTGCCAGATTGGGGAAGTTTACTTTATTATTTGTTCAAATAAGTTTTCCACTTGTTGCTCTTCTTCTTCCCCTTCTGGTGCACTATAATTCGGACGTTGGAACAGTTAAAGATGTCCTGGAGGTTCCTAAGCCTCTCCTCATCTTTTTGAATTCTTTTTTGTTCATTCTTTTCTGTTTAGTTGTTTCTTTCTTCCTTCTGGTCCACTCCATTGATTTGAGTCCCAGTTCCCTTTTCATCACTATTGGTTCCCTGTGCATTTTCCTTTATTTCACTTAGTGTAACCTTCATTTTTTTCATGTAATTTGTGACCAAAATCAACCAGTTCTGTGAGCATCCTGATCACCAGTGTTTTGA